TTCAGCTCATCTTGGGCCGGAGACACTGCGGGATATGGTATCGAACCGAAGTCAATGGCGTGAATGCATCACCTCTTGTCTACAGTCGCAAAAATAAACAAAAACAAAAAAACCTCAGAATGGCATGCAGTAAGCAAACAAAAAATTGTTACTCTTCGAAGTTGACTGTTTTATTTTCCCCGTTTTTTGTACCTATATATATATGTGCAACATTGACGTAAGCCGTCGTGAATTAGGTAGTATTCGGTGGATAGAAGTCAGATCAGTAGGCTTTTCTGGTTAGGACGCGTATTTCGCATACCCATTTGTCGTCTACGGCACCGCGCTTTTGGTCAGTTATGGCTCCAGGTTGGAAAAAAACCATGTGGAGATCAACACATGACGTGGAAAAGAGCTATTAAGAATGCATACAACGATTAGGTAGAGTAGGTGTCTCACTCCTCCCTGGTTGGAGCCCGAAATATTCTGTAATTAGTTGGTTAGAGACACTGAGGGATATGGCAACTAACCGACAACAGTGTTGTTCTTGTTGTCATTTGCTATCAGGTATGAATGCTTGAAAAGGTATGTATGCATAATTGGGTAGTGCTTGTTGACCACAGGGATTCACTTTCTTTGCCTATCTCCAGTTAGACTCAAACCCCATTCACCTTGTGCTTCCTCAATTACCTTGTGTTCCCTGTGAGCTTGGCAGCGCTCAGCGAAGTTCGCTTCACTGTATTTCGTTGTACGATGATGATAATGATTTATTGATTGCGTGGCAGTGGGAGAATTGTGGCATTGTATGACTTGATAATTGTTTCATTAGATATGTGAGTGTGTGTTGAATTATCGTTAATCTTGACGATACAAATGACGACGCATCGAAATACGTCAGTTTCATTGTGCTAATCGAAATCGTTTCCTTTCGTTCACACTTTTTTCAGACCGAAATATGTCACCACGGCGAATCAACTTACTAAGACTAGTACAGTGGTACGTGGGGGTTACTACCGGAATCCTTCCTAACAAAGATAAATGCTGTCATGTGAAGATCGTGGTCACGTGGGTGTTCGATGAGGATGGCGCGTACGATATAGGATTTATACGCTGCATGAGAGTGATAAGAATAGGTCACCGTGCTTTGTAGAGACCAAGTGATAACTCATCACTGCAGCAAGTCGCACTTGATTGTAATGGCAACACTGATTGAATATATATATATATAGTGTACAACGGTGATGAGGTAAACAATCTTTTAGTGGTTTCGTGAGACAATATTGACCGGAATCGACTGTTTCAGTCTATTGTTGTAGTAGTTGGTAGGCCTACGACGTGATTACAACGCTTTCTGCTCGGGTGTCGGTGCGAGACCTGATAGTAAACATCTAACACAGACGATATCGGCCGAATCTCACTTTTTTCTTTTTTGGTGGAAACTGTCTGATAGAATCTGCGTTTAACTGGACCAAACTGACATCAGTAAGAGAGCTTACTGATTGAGGATATGTTGCGGCGGCATATTTTTTCTTGGCACTGTTAAAACCGTTTGTTCCCTGAAGCTTTTTCGAAATTGGGCCAAACCAATTAAAAGAAAATTATTTGGTGTGAGAATCGAATTTCCAGTTGAGAAACAAAATGTAAAGGACCAAATAGATGACAGTTTGACCAGGGTAACCAATTAACCAAACATGTCATCATTTGAGGGCGCAGGGTGATTTTTGAAGTTGGGAGCGGTTCATGTGTGCAGGTTATGCAATAATGTTTTGTCTCGTAGTTGTATCACATACGTAAGTCTTAACTTTGTTCTCACTTTAATAATATCTGGTCTCTGTAGAGTATTGCCTGCAACGTTTCACGAACGTAGACCATGTCTATCGTGAACTGAGAACAACTATTGTAATGTACATCTCAAGGTTTGTGATAGTCCAGCTTTGCATTGAATGCTTTACCTGGTGATTTGCAATTAAATGCACGCAAAAGTTGCGTACTATTAGATGACGGAAATGACGAACTTCCATATATA